AAACAGGGATATATATTTACTGGAGAATGGGCTCAATCTCTTCCTCTGGGTGGGAGCAAGTGTCCAACAGGGTGTTGTCCAGAGCCTCTTCAGCGTCTCCTCCTTCAGTCAGATCACCAGTGGCTTGGTGAGGGCAAGGCATCAAGGAGAATATGGGTGTGGGAACATACTTTGTGATATGGCAGGAACCAATAAAGTCAGTGTGTTAGTCTCCTTAAATAGCAGGGAACACTTGGGGGGGGGCAGGGAGGATGCTGTTTTTCCTCCCAGGCTTCTTTGTTTCATTTAATACTCTATCTTGATTGGACTCAGAGTACCTTACCATAAGGATAAATTAATTTTGTGTTCCAGAGTATTCTTCCAGTTCTGGATAATCCGCTGTCCAAGAAGGTGCAAGGCCTCATTGATAGCTTAAGGGCACAGAGATCACGGTACATGAAGGTAACACTGATATGAACCTTGGATTTCTTACCTTATAAAGTCCTCACCTGAAAGGGGGGCAGGATGTGAATAAGTGACTGGATAGTAGGATTTCTGGGCGTGATTAATTCCCATTGGCTCTGCCTCATGACCTTGTGTTCTGGCCATAGCTTATCGTGGTGAAACAGGAAGACAAACTGGAGATGCTGTTCAAGCACTTCCTGGTGGAAGACAAGAGCCTGAGCGGCGGAGCATCCTATGTGGACTTTCTCTGTCATATGCACAAGGAGATTCGGCAGCTACTGAGCTAGAATGAGTGGGTAAATGGCATAGGGTCCTAGACCAGCTTCCAGAAAGTACTCCAGGGTGGCAGAAAAACCAGGACAGTTCCATATCTTATAAGTCATGTAAGCTGACCTCAGTCTCTTTGGGGGGAGGGGGAGGTAAAGGAGACACCTTCTTTCTGGGCTCAAGTATCCTATCACTGTCATGTCCTGCTGATGGAAGGTGCCCCTATCCCCTCACTTTATCCTCCTTTTCCTGCTAATCCTGTCGTAATGAATGTAGTTTCTCAGTTCACTGTATATGATTCGGTATTGGGGGATTTGGGGGCACCCAGACCCTGGCAATATTATGTGTCCCTTTGGACCAACCTCCAAGAAGAGAGGGGCAGGCAGGAATGAATGGGATCCCAGGGTTACTATGGGGGGAGGGGCTAATTCAGCTCAGTGTCATCGACAACTTCCTATATTAGGGATAAAACATATAGGTGCACAAGAGCTGGGATATATACCATAGGAGATGGAGAGAAAAGTGGTCGGTCCTTCTTGGGCTTGGAAGTCAGTAGCCAAGTCAGAGTTACAGAGGTTGGTTGATTAGCTTTCTCTTTCTGCTTCCACTGCTTTCTCTCTTCTGCAATGAATGGTGGATAGAGGCACATTGTCAGAGATGAATGAACCTCGGAAATGAGTTGCAAAGTAGATTAAGATCTGGGATAGGTACCTTTCCAGCTGGAGAGGCCTCGACACTGAATGGTTCTGTAGGGAGCCTGGTCATCAACTTGCAATACCTCACAGAGCCAGCCCACATCCCACTCTGAGCCCCCACTGGAAACACTAATTCTCCAAACTGGGGATTGTTGCGGAGAGAGGCAGAGACAGCCCGAGGTCTATTCTATCCTGCCGGGACACCACTCGAGCTTTGGTATTGACCGAGTGGCTGACAATTACCTTCCAACCCGAACTGGCTGGAGCAGGACAAGGGCTAGGGTTGATGGTGGCCAGGCTTGCCTGCTCCCAGCCTGGGACTCCCCTGCTCTGGACCTCTCATTTCTCTTCATTGGTTTATTTTTCAATGCATCTTTAATTTGTAAAGAAATAAAATAAATTAAGATGTAACCAGTAGACTCATTTTTACCCTTGACGTGTCACTTTTCCTCTGGTCCTTCCTGCCAGGAGTAAGCTGGGAAGAGGCCAGTTGAGCGGAGCTGCGCATGCGCCATATGCCCCTGTGGCGTAAGTCCTCGTTCCGCTGCAACTCACCCCAGGGCGGGTCTGGTCCTGTGTGAAGGGGGCTGGCTGCCAGTGGACATGGCGGCCGGCTGTACCGCGGCTCTGCTTATCGCCCTGGGAGTGCTTAGTGTCTGTGCAGGTAGCGGCTCTGGGCCCGTGGCAGAGGGAGCGACCGGTGAGGAAGCGGAGTGGGCGGAGCCGTGGGATGGTGCGGTTTTCCGGCCGCCCTCAGCTCTGGGCGCAGTGGGGGTGGCGCGCAGTCCGCGGACTCAACTGCCAAGGAAGGAGGAAGCGGTGGACCTGCCGGTACTGTTGTGGTGGAGCCCAGGGCTGTTTCCCCACTTCCCCGGGGACTCGGAACGCATCGAGTGCGCGCGCGGCGCGTGCGTGGCGTCCCAGGACCGACGGGTACTGGGGGACTCGCGCACGCGCGCGCTGCTTTTCTATGGCACCGATTTTCGTGCGTCTGAGGCGCCCCTGCCGCGTCTGGCGCACCAGAGTTGGGCGCTTCTGCACGAGGAGTCGCCCCTCAACAACTTCTTGCTGAGCCACGGTCCAGGCATCCGCCTCTTCAATCTTACCGCCACCTTCAGCCGTCACTCGGACTACCCGCTGCCGCTACAGTGGCTGCCCGGGACTGCCTACCTACGCCAGTCGGCGCCTCCGCTCCAGGAGCGCGCGGAGTGGCGCCGCCGCGGCTATGCGCCGCTGCTCTATCTGCAATCCCACTGCGACGTGCCGTCGGACCGGGACCGCTACGTGCGCGAACTCATGCGCTACATCCCGGTGGGTGCGGGGGTGGCGGGGCTGGGAGGGCAGGGAGTACGCCGAGCTGAGGCCCGGACCCCTGGGGTCCAGGCCGACTTGCTCTATCCTCTTGACAACTCTTTTCTACTCGGCTCAGGTGGACTCCTACGGGAAATGCCTGCAAAACCGGGAGCTGCCCACTCTGCGATTACAGGACACAGCCACAGCCACCACCGAAGATACAGAGCTCTTCACCTTCTTGTCCCGCTATAAGTTCCATTTGGCCCTCGAAAATGCCATCTGCAACGACTACATGACAGAAAAACTGTGGCGCCCCATGCATCTAGGTGCTGTGCCTGTGTACCGCGGCTCTCCCTCTGTGAGGGACTGGATGCCCAATAATCATTCCATCATCCTTATTGATGACTTCGAGTCACCTCAGAAGCTGGCAGAGTTTATTGACTTTCTGGACAAGAATGATGAGGAATATATGAAATACCTGGCATACAAGCAACCTGGGGGCATCACCAACCAGTTCCTTCTGGATAGTCTGAAGCATCGGGAGTGGGGAGTGAATGATCCTTTACTGCCTAACTACCTCAATGGTTTTGAGTGTTTTGTCTGTGACCATGAACTGGCTCGGCTGGCTGCTAAGAAAGCCCACGTAGCATCTCCTGGGGTCATTCCTGTCCCTGAGCCTCACATAGCCCAGCCCTCACACATGGACTGCCCAGTGCCAAAACCTGGCTTGGGCAGTGTGGAAGAGATACCTGAGAATGACAGGTAAGGTTAGCTGGGTTCCCCTGCAGCCATCAAATCAAATGATTTACTTACTTGCTTTCTTTGGGCAATGAATTAGCACTAGGTGCTGAAGGGATGTTGTATAAAGGAAATTATGATATAGGCTCACTCTGCCTTTAAGGTGTTGAGTCTAGTTGGGGAGATAAGACAAACAGGAAAAGCTCAGTAAAGATCTGAAATAAAATTGAAGGCAACAACATGAAAATCAGTTTATGTGGACAATTTGCAATAGTAATTCAAAAAATCAACCAGAGCAGAGGGCCTGTTCAGAGAAGTGATGAGGGAGAGACAACACTGGGCAGATAAAGTGGGCCCAGGCTATATACAGCCTGAATACCAGGCTCAGGAGTTGGACTGTCTTGAAAATCAACTTAGCTATTTATTGAGCACCTTTAACAGGTGGGGGTGGGGGTGAGGAATACAAAGATGAGGTTTTTTGTTTGTTTTTAAAAAGATGAGTGTTCTGAGGGAGGATTGTCTGCAGTACTCAGGTTTTACACCTGTTAACCTGGCATTATTAATAGTACCACCTTTCACTCTTAAAAGTACCTTGATTTGGAAGGTAAATTTTATGTTCACTCTAGAGAGAATAAAGGGAATGCTTTCAAAAGATAATAATTAACAGTGGTAGGCAGTGTAGATTAGAAGGGAAATGAAGAGGCTACTGCAATAGATGGCAGAATATGGTAGCACTGAGGAATATAGCATGGGAGGTGGAGTGGGAAATTGTTGAAGCCACTTGAAGCAAACCACACCTTTTAGGAGAGGAAATAAAAGATGATTAAGCTTGAGAAAGAGGCTCCTAGAATAGCCTGCAGAGACCGACTTGGACAGTGGATGGCAGCAGAGGGCTATTTATATATGCTGCTGGCACAGTTTGGTCCTGGGAATGGAGTCCTCCATCCAGTTAATTTGTATTTGTTTATGCTGCACATAATGATTTACTAGAGGAAAAGTGTAAAACAATGTAAACGTTTTGAAAAATTTAGGTTATGTCTTAATCTAGACACTGGATGCCGCTGCACCTTCATTTCGATTATTGAAAAAAAGGTGCAATTTAAGAGGTAACCATCTAAATATGCTCCCTTGCTCTCCCTCGGGAGACAGCTGCTTCCCTAATCTGGCCCCTGCCTTGCCTGCCTCTGAACTGTCTCCACATTTAGGAACAAGGAGCAGGCAAGTCAGGAAGTTTAACTCATTGGTTGGGCTGTGTGATATTTTTGTGGCTTACTGCCTGTCACATGGACTAGTACTGGATTTACTTTATATTTCCTTTTCTTTGAAGCAGAGCTCTGTACTAGCTAGAGACCACTGGATCTGCTTAAGAGTTCTTTGGCGCTATTCAGAGAGAAGCAGGACTCAGCTGTGCTGAAGTTCCATAACCCAACCCCCATTTTGATATTTCAGCTGGAAGGAGATGTGGCTGCAAGATTATTGGCAAGGTCTGGACCAGGGAGAAGCTCTCACTGCCATGATCCACAACAATGAAACACAGCAGAGGAAATTTTGGGATTACCTTTATGAGATCTTCATGAAAAGGAACCAAAATCTCTAATTACCCTTGCAAGAGCCTTTAACTTGGTAGAGCTAAGGAGATGGGAGTCCTTATTTCTACCATGGGACAAGAGGGGCATCCACTGTGCAAACCCTTAATGAACATTGTTTTATCATGCTTTCAAGGAATTCCAGTTATATCCACTGATATTTTATCCTAATGATGTGTAGTTAGGGTCTCAGCCTGAGGTAATAGGGCCTCTCTCAGGAGATGAAGGCATCCAGTTTTTGGTTTAGTAAAAAAAAGAAGCCTGAAACACTCATTTGATTCAAGGTGCTGATCCAACAGAATTTTTCAATTACTACTTATTTCTCTAGCCATTTCATTCTCTCAATTATGATTAGAAAAACACCTTAGTGCTTGTCTACAAATGAGGTAAGATGGGCCAAGTTTAGGGTCTTAAAACTTCTCCTGCGCTATCCTCAAACCCTTCATTCAGTACCTTACCTAACCTCTTTTTCCCATCTCCTGCTTTATAAACTGTTATGTTGGTGGTGAAACAAAACTCCTGGTGGGTTGTATTCTGGTTCCCTGGAGTTGTATTTTTGATATCATTTACCTTGCTTTTCATGTCAGACTTTTTATTTTAAATGGCTTTTCCTTTCCTAATTTTCCACAATTTCTGATGAAGATGCAGCAGCTTTGCCACTATTCCCACATTCATTCTCCCTTGCATTAAACTGACTATAAATTTGATAACTTTTCTTACTGCTGGTTTGCTTCTTGTCTAGGACATAGCTGGAATTCCTTCTCACTTCATGAACAGAAGGATTTAGTAGTTAATATATGCCATGTCAATTTAATGAATTGCCCTGCTTTCTTTTAGGTTAGAGATGGAGAGTAAAGCAGAAAATACATATAAAATGATTTTGAAATGTTAATGATTTTGAAATAGGCCAGTGTGAATCAAAGTGAAAATATTTTATAGGTCTTTGTTTTTTTCTGTCTAATGAACTCTTCTCTCTTACTATTTTTATATGCTACAGAAGTCTAATTCCGCCACCCACCCCCCCACCCCCCGCCAAAGTCATAAAAATTATGGTGGAAAAAACAGCCCAGCAATATAGCTCTAGTAATTATTTCATATTCTGTAGCACTTTTCACTTTAAGTGGGATGAATATTCCAACTTCATTCTATTACTGATACCCTTTTTTATACCTTTATAGTACTTACGGAGACTACATTTTGATGAAGCCCACCCAAGGCCCTAAACTCAAGAGGATGAGAGGTGAGGCAAGAGATTTAAGCCACCACAAGTGTGTAGCTAAATTAAAAGCTGTTAGTCAGATTTGGGGATATAGCCAAACCCTTCTATTGCTATGGTTTGAACATAAAGCTTAATAGGCAGAGAGACTATTAGATTTTTCTGGGGCAGTGGAATAGGAAAAAATACCTTGGCCCTTAGAGTTACCCTGGTTGTAATGTCGTATTAATGAATCATCACAGAGAAGTTCCATAGCTTAATATATCTGGTGGCAAATTAGTGTATGTATGTGTATATACACACACACACAAATCTATCACCAGATAGAAAAAATATATATGTAGATGCTTTAAAAACTAGGGTTCCACACTTAATGTGACTTCTAAGGATGTGGCCAAGGAACGCTATAATTGAAGCTGAATTTCACTGGCAGGGTGTTCTTTAATAAAAAATCCCCTTCATAACAGCATGGAAAATTTGCTTAACCTATTTGGGTTCTTGCAGAAAAGTAAAAGAGGTAAAGACAGACTTCAAAAATAACTTGGGTTAAAATCTGTTACAGAAGCGACCCACAAAAGAAGTCAAATTCAGGACTGATTGTTTAGCTTCTATTTAAATGAAAATGCTGATTTATAATGCAAAATATTAGTACTCAAGTGCAAACTAAGGTTAGGACTTAAATTTCATTATGTGCAGTAAAAAGGGTAAGTGATAGTTAGTTATATAAGGTGTAGAATCATCCTTCCTTCTGTCAGTTCACATTGGCATTCCTTTAGCACTTTTATATACAAAATGGGCCAGTTGTTTATGTGTGGCAGGAGGCTCATGCCTGCTTTGTGGTCAGTACTTTCCACTTTTTCCTTTATTCCTATGGCCATAAAAGTATTCATAAAGAGCAAGGTAAACCAGGTGCTACATTTCCATAAGGGAAACCAGAACCAGTAGTCCTGTGGCACCTATCAACTAAAGGCTTCAATTTCCCTCTGGAAAAAGCAAGCAATGTGAATTTTCTCTGGTTTGGGACCCAGCCTGCTCTATGTACAGCAGCAGGCTTGGGGTTGTTGCTAGTAGGTTTTGATAGGAATCGCGGTGTTGTTTTTTTTTTTGGTGCTGCTGGAGAGGGAGTGGAGCATGGGGTTGATGCCTTTATTACTCCAAGCGTTGCTATTTTCTATTAGGTTTCATTTTGTATAATAAATGGCTTATTTTTAAACAGTTTCTTCTGCTTGGTTATATTTCTGGGTGAACATGATAAAGTTGGATACTTGTAAAAATATTTCAGACATTTGTTCATTTAACAAGTATTTGATACAACTCTAGGCACTGGGGATTCAGCAATTAACAAAATAGACAAGGCCCCTTCTCTCATGGCGCTTACATTTTAAATGGTTGTTGGTGGTAATTAACACCATAAACGATAAATGAACAAGATAATTTGGACTGTGATAGATGCTATGAAGAAAATAGGTTGTGGTGGTGGGGTGTGAGAAGTTAAGGAAGGCCTCTGATATGAACTGAGACTCAACAGTCAACCAGAGGTAAATGGTTTTAGCACACAAGCAAATAAATATTGGTCCTCCCAAAGAGTCACCTTGTGAACTACAAGATTGTTCAAGTTATGTTTCCATTACCAGAAACATTTCTTGGGGGCTTATTTGTAAATGCCTTGAAAATCCGTGGTACAGCTTTGGTCTGAGTTTTGTAAACAGTTAAATCATTTAGAACCAAGTCTGATGAAGCTAGGCATCACAACTGAAGGGCCAAGTCTATAAATAGGAATGATACTACCAGGTACCTTCACAGGACTGGCAAAAGGATTAAGTTAAGACGAGGATTAAGTGAATGCGAAAGTGCTTAAAGTTCACCCTGTAACAAAGGAGGAAACAATACTTATAGCTATTTAAATAAATGAGCCTATTTTTCTTCGCGGGTTTGGGGTGCTTCTAAAAGAATTTAAAACCAACAGTTATTGAAAGCGTATTAAAACAACAAAAATCTTTCCCAACCTAACATCTTAAAGTCTCATAATTTTGATTCGCTCTCATTCTCTCTGGCCTTGTTTGTGCCAATCAAGCAGGCTAGTACAAAAAATGGGTGTTCATTTATCGGGCCCCTTTCCTGGGTGTCCCCGGCCCAGTACTGCCCCAAGACTTCAGGTCCCGAAGCCCACAAAGGAGAATCGGCGTACAAGCCCCAAAGATTCTCTTAACCTGCACACTGGTCTGGATCGGCCGGTGTCCGAGTCCAGTAACCCAGGCGCAAGAAAACAGACCAAGCGTTCCGCTGGCCGCGCACCCAGCCTCGTCGAGCTTGTAGGGGTCACGCAGGGTCACGCACGGCGCCGCAAAGCCTGCCGGGATCCCGGCGCGCAATGGCTACTCCCAGCCTGCGGGGTCGACTAGCACGGCTTGGAAACCCGCGGAAACCTATATTGAAACCCAACAAGCCGCTCATCCTAGCTAACCGTGTTGGAGAAAGGCGCCGGGAGAGGGGTGGTGAGCAGTCGAATCCGAGGAGGCTCCAGAGTGGAAGCTGGAGGGAAGCAGGGGGGCGGCTGGGTGGAAGGGCTGGAAGGTAAGAGTCTCCTAGTGACTGAGGGTCCACACATTCTTCTTCTCCAGAGGCGACCTGTATTACGGAGATGTCGGTGATGATGGCTTGTTGGAAGCAGAATGAATTCCGCGACGAAACGTGCAGAAAAGAAATCCAGGACTTCTTCGATTGTGCCTCGAAGGCTGAGGTGACAGAAGGCTTCTGGGGTGCCCTTTGGGAGGAGAGTGGGGTGCCGCGATAAAAGTAATGATTTTCCCCGCCTCTTGCTAGGTGATAAGGAAGTCCCTCTCATTCTAAAAGGGCGAGGAAAGTTTTAGGAGCTATTTCACTCAAGCCAAAGTGGGAAAGATTATGATTTGAAGGCTTTGTGATTTTGAGCCTTAGCTTTGCCAGATGTAAAACGAGGTTAATTATTAATGCCCACCTTACAGAATTTTGTCTCAAATGAAGGAATGAATGGGAAACCACTGTATAAAATTTAAATTGCTGCTCAAATAGACATTATTTTCTAATATAGAACTAAAAGATTGTTTGGTATCTAGCCTAGGCTTACTTGCTAGCTGGCATGGTGGCTTCACGACCTACGCTCATTTACAGGTCCCCCCTCCCTTTTGTTGAAAGTGGACTGAGAAGATGACAGATCTCTCTAGGCTGGTTAATATCTTAGTGCACTTTGGGGCATAGTGAGAACTATTGGCCTACTTCAAGACAAACTTTAGAGTTGTCATTTTTGTTTTTGTTCTGTGTTTTCAGGCAGCCCGAAAGATGAGATCAATCCAGGGAGAGTCTGGGAATTTACCCCCCAAGAAATTGAATATGTTGTTACAGAGGTTTCCTAACAAACCTCACGTCAGCTGAAAATGGAGAAACATTTTCAGTGATTTTCAGTGACTGTAGCTTCTGAGAACTATGCAGAAGTGTTTTAGAGAAGTTTGCACTGCTGTGCTCTATTTGAAGGGTAAAAGGCAAAACACTTTTTTCATTCTTTGGCGTTATTGTCTGGGTGGCAGTAATGCTTTATCTTGAAATAAAATCCTCTGAAGAGAACTTGGCCTTTTGTTGTGGATTAGGTACCCCCTCCATACTTGAACCCTGTAACCTCCTCCAGACTCTGGAAGTTCTTTGCTCCCTGAGCAGGATAAAAACCTTCGACTTATCCTGCATTTGACGTCCTTTACATCATTTAGTGCCCTTGCCTTTGGATGCGCCAAGGATATCGAAGCCTGCCTATAAACAGAGGTTCCCCTCCCCCATCATCTGTAAGTATTTAGTGACTACCTACTTTGTGCATAGCCCCTGCAAGTTACTCCCAGAGTAATCAGAACTTCACAAACTAGTGATTCAGAGGTATTGCAGATGTATTTTATTTGGTCCACACAGTTAAAAATTTGTTTTTAAATTAGCCAACCATATTAAAAAATATAGAATATGTAATAAAAATTTCACTTTTTAAGCTTTTCTTAAAAAAAGAAAATCTGGCAATCCTAGTTTCTTACTCTCACATGGCAATAATCAAGTATAGCTGATTATCATTAACATTCTTCAGGGACTTGGCCACTGGACTCTCCCAAATGGTGAAACTTAATTGGCAATTACCTCTATGTGTCACCTGTCCACGTCTCATTAAGCTGCTAAAGGCATTTACTTTTGTGACCTAATATTAGAAACAATTGTATAGCATTTTATGTATACTCTGCCCTTTCAGTCATAACTGAGTTAACTTTTTCTTTGTACCTTACAGCATTAAATGGACTAAGGGATCAGTGGGGTTTTTTTAAGCTCTAGTGGCATAATTATTAAGATAAAGTAGGGATCTTGCCTCCCTAATCCCCCACAGCTTCCTTTTCCTACAGTCCTCATACCCATGGGTGGAACACTAGGCAATTGCCTAGTTCTGCATGCTGAGGTTTTTAGCTATAAGGAAGAATTCGGTGCTAAGGCACTTTGGACTGGACTTAGGAGTTTTTAACTTAAGGTCTATAGATGCCCAGTAAGAGACCTGTGAACATGGATGGGAAAAGATTTTATCATAAACCACAACTGATTTAGCATTTCAATTAAGACTGGGAAACAAACCACAGTGTCATTAGCAATACCTATATGAAATCGCAATGTTTTCATATATTGCAGTTTGTTACAGATATCTCAATATCATTTGTACTCATCACTAGCTTCAAAATTATGGTAGTTATTACACTTGTTGCTGGATCTTATTTAATGTGTAAATAAAGAAGTGTTACTATGTTACAAATTTGTTTTAATATTTTTATAATTGTATTTTAACATGATTGGTTTCCTTTATATTTCTTGTATTTCATTTTGTGCATTTATAAACAATCCAAGAAGGGGATACGGGGACTTCACCAGGCTGTTAAAGGGTCCGTGGCACACAAAAAGGCTAAGGACCCCTTGACTCACAGGCCCCAGTGACAGACAGTACAACCATCTCCTGAAATCAAACGCCTTTTTCTGGTGCTTTCCCAGTTAGACGCTATGAAGTCTGGAATGCAGGCTTTTGGACTACAACTCCCAGCAGGTGAAGCGACCCCGGGGCCTACCGGAGTTAGGACAATAACTACCCAATGGTTCCTGTGGTGTTGCTTGACAGCCTACGATTCCCGGCATGCCTGGCGAATGTTTATTCCTTGGGGACATGGACGCCGAGTTATCGCTGGGATCTGTAGTCGTTTTGCATACCTTCGGGGGTTGGCTTCCTCTTATGGTGTCTTTGAGCAAAAAAGCAGGAAACGCAGCAATAAAATACACAGGTCCGCTGCATCCGCCCGTACTCGGTCTGGTCCCCGAGCACGCGAGGGCGGAAGTGGTGGTGGCCGGCGCGGCCGGAAGTTCAGATCAGCTGATGGGGGAGGCGGTGCCGCAGCCCTGGAGAGGCCCCGGCTGCCCAGCGCTTCGTCCTGGCCCTGAGTCTCGGAGACTGGGCGCGATCCCCGTTTGCACCTCGCTCTTGGGCCAGGCCCTGTCCCGTATCTCTCCTAGGCCTGAGATCCTCGCCCGGCACGGCCGCCCTGAGCGCCCCGGCCACCCCCAGCCCCGGCTCGCCCCTCAGGCCCCGGGCCTCCCCTCAGTCCCCGGCCGGCGGCCCAGGCCCCGGATCCGCGGGGGGGGACCCGGCCCCGGGGGGGGCGGGCCCCATGGAGCTGATGTTCGCAGAGTGGGAGGACGGAGAGCGCTTCTCATTCGAGGATTCGGACCGCTTTGAAGAGGATTCGCTCTGTTCCTTCATCTCTGAGGCCGAGAGCCTCTGCCAGAACTGGCGGGGATGGCGCAAACAGTCAGCGGGGCCCAATTCCCCCACTGGCGGCGGTGGCGGAGGTGGCAGTGGCGGTACCAGAATGCGAGGTGAGGGTGAGCGGGATATGGGGTAGTGGAGCGGGCAGGCCTTGCTCCGGCCTTGCTGTGGCCTTGCTCGAGAGCTGTCTCTGCTCGGGAGCTGTCCCCGCTCGGGAGCTGTCCCGGACCCGCGAGCTGTACCAAGCTTTGAACGGACTTAAAGACTCGCTCTTCTGGTCTTTCTGGGGTTGGCTTCTCCACACCAGCGTGCGTGCGTGTGCGTGTGTGTGTGTGTGTGTGTGTGTGTGTGTGTGTGTAAGAGAGAAAGAGATTTGGGTGATGGCTGGGAAATTCTGGGTTGGATAGGATTAGCGACAGAAAGTAGATCTTTTGTCGTTCATTTGCCTTAGAGATGGGATAAGAAGACTTCTCTGGGACTTGGGAATACTTACGGAGTTCAGCCTGAGGCAAGTTGAAAGTAGAGGAGAATGTGGGTAGGAGGTGGATTGTGAAGAAGTGACCATTCCCATCGCAACGTGCATTGGGAACTTCTTGATTCAGGGTGATGATCTCTGATCCCAGCTGCACCAAAAAAGGATTCCACCCAGAAGAAAGTGGAAGTGAACTGGCCTGTGAGAGGAGATTCCATAGTTCTATAGATTTAAATCAGAAGCTTAGTTTCTGGCCATATTGAACATCTGTCAGAAGCCAAGGTTGGGACCACTGGATTAGAGCCTTAAATTTCCATCATCTGGTGCCTGGGGAAGGGTGTGGGTAGTGTCTCTGAAGTCCCCTTATGAAGCGTTCTATCTGCTTTTTGCTGTGAGTTTCTTTCATCCTTGGGTCTTTCAGTGAATTAACTGATAATTGCCATGAAGAATTTTGCTTTAAAGGGGATGGAGAGGAGAGTAATGGTAAGAGAAGCTCCAAAGGCTCAGAACTCACGACATCATTTCCCTGCTTTCCTCATGGCACAGTTTTTGTCCTGGGCCTCAGTGGAAGCTGACTTTTTTTCAGCAGCTGAGGGGGTTACTTTGCAATTCTCCTCTGGCCATTCCAAGAATCCTATTTTTCAAACTGCCCCACAGAGATTTCTAGCACCCCTTTGGGACAAAAAGAAATTTACATGTGTTACTTTTTAGGAGTGATAATATTCAACTTTAGTTGGTGAGAAAGCATGTGCTTTGTGTACACACACACACACACACACACACACACACACAGATCATAGATATTTTCACTGTCCATCTTCTTTGGCTTCTCTACTTTTATTTTTGCATGCGCGGGTGGCCTGGGGGCTTAGAGCTCCCTCACTTTGAGGGAAGTATGAAATCATGGGGTGAAGATTTTTACAGATTATCTTCCTGAACAGGTTAAAATCTACAAAAGCATGTTATTTCCCCACCCCCACCCACTTCCATCCCAGGCTGCCCTGAGTCAATCATTTGTAAAATAAAGAGATTAACTTTTTTTTTTAAAAAAAGGTTCTTTTCTGCTCTATGATTTTCTGATTTGTTTCTAATCTGACTAGCAGTTGGTGAGATGTGCAGTCTGTTGTGTTTCACTGCTTTTTGATTGAAACTTTGAGTAGTAACTCCATCCTACCCCAGGTGATTTCAAGAACAGCAGCTAGGTTCCCTTGGGATAGCCTGTCTCTCCCTCAACCCAGGGCTTTTATTGTTGGAAGCCGGGTCCAGGTGTGCCAAAGGAAATGTAGCTTCCCTTGCTTCTGGAGGTCCCACTTTTTTTAACTCTTCTGGGCTCTTATCTATCTTCCATCCTTAGATTGAGGCCTGAAGTCATCTAGAGAAAAAGGGTTAGTTAAAAAAGCAATTAGAGAAAAGAATGCCAGAGGGAGACATTTACAATGTAATACGAATCTTAAAGTGTTGGGTGTATGGGAAATAAGATGCTGAGCCTTGTGAAAGGCATTACCTACTAGGATCCTGGAACACACCTGTTTGCTGCCAGGAGTTTCTGGGATATCCCTGGTGTCTTCTATTCTAAACCTTAGGTAACAGGCTGTGGGTTGGGGTTGTTTAGCTCGCCTCCCCCAGATGGCATCTTAAGGGTTGGTGTTTCGTGACAGGAGGATCTTTTGGTTTTTCATAGTGAAGGTGGGGTCCAAAATGTGGCACTGGTATTGGTGCCCAATGATCATAACCCTTTTCATTTTCCCTTTTCTTTCTCCTCACCCCAACCTTTGTTTCCAAAGATGGACTGGTGATCCCATTAGTGGAGCTGTCAGCAAAGCAGGTGGCATTTCATATTCCATTTGAAGTGGTGGAGAAAGTTTACCCCCCAGTGCCTGAGCAGCTACAGCTCCGAATTGCTTTTTGGAGCTTTCCTGAGAATGAAGAGGATATTCGGTGAGGCTAAAGGACTGATGGTGGGAGTAGGGTCCTGATACATCACAGTGTGCTGGGCTTCCCACAGAACAAAGGGGATATTGTATTGGGGGCTGTAGTAAGAAGACAAGGGGATGAGGGAATGCCTTGGATTTTCCCCAAAAGGGATTGACACTGGGGAGAGAGTGCCCAGGGCATTGTGTTCTCTGACAGGATGTATAGAGGTTATTTGCTCAGTTGTGGCTATGTCCTCTTCTTCACCCTCAGGTTATATTCATGCCTGGCCAATGGCAGTGCAGATGAGTTCCAGCGAGGAGATCAGCTATTCCGCATGAGGGCTGTGAAAGACCCGCTGCAGATAGGTAAGGGTCCCATCATGCCTTTTGGCACAGCCTGCTCCTCTCATCC